TGGCTCAAGTGGTAGAGCACTAGCCTTGAGCTGAAGAGCTGAGGGACAGCGCCCAGGCCCAGAGTTCAGGCCCCACGACCGGACCCCAGAAAAAAAATATGTACATAAAATCTCTCTGGTTTCAGAACTACCTTTTACCCCTACCCTGCTCCTCACCAAAAAAACCTATGTCCTAGAGTTCTGTTTCTCCAACCCATGTGTAAAGAGTCTGTATCATAGCCAGGCACCAGTGGCTTACACCTGTAATCTTAGCTACTCAGAAGGCTGAAATCTGAGAATCACAGTTCAAAGCCAGCTTGGGCAGGAAAGTCCATAAGACCCTTATCTCCAATTAACCACCAGAAAACTGGAAGTGGCTCTGTGGCTCAAGCAGTAGAGCACTTCCCTTGAGCTGAAGGACTCAGGGACAGCACTCAGGCCCAGAGTTCAAGCCCATGACCAACAACAACAACAAAAAAGAGTCTGCATCAAAATCATTTAGGGCTAGATGTAGTAGCACATGCCTATAATCCTAGCACTCAGGAGGCTAAGGCAGAAAGATCCCAATTTTGAGCCTTTCCTGGGCTATAAGTTAGTTCCAGGACAGCTTTGGCTACATAGCAAGATTCTGTCTCAAACAAAAAAAAATTTGTAGGGATGTTGTTAAAGGTAGATTCCTGGGCTGTACCTAAACTGACTTCCATAAAAACAAAGATTTTGGAAATATTACCTTTGAGGGAAAAAAATACCTAAAAGTATCTTTCAGTCTGAACCATATGTAACTATCTTAAATGTGTAAATTTCATATATGCTGAAATCCACCTTCAATATAGTATTGAAAGTAATAATCATACCCATAATTTAAAGATTTTCTTGCAACTTTGTAGACAGGAGATGACAGTTCTTGTCATAGGAAGAAAAGAGTCAAGGAAACTTGAATTCACAAAGTTCACACACAAATTTTAAAGTGATAATCTTCAATTGCCAAGTAGTACAGCATTAAAGTGAATTAACTACTTCTCAAAAAAATTAATTGAATTCAGTTATAGTTGTGTAATTACCTGGAAATATCCCCCCAGTACCATTCTGCATCCTGAAGAGCAACGCAACTGTCTTTCATCCCATTTGTAACTGCTGAAGTCATTGGCTTAGGTGGCTTTGGTGGAAGAGCTAGAAAAGAAGTGAACATTACTTTATATATGTAAATTAGCATTTACTTATTTGCTTCGCTAGGAGCAGGTCATTAACCAATATATACTAAGATTCAAAAAACTGCCAATCCAATTTAAGGCTTAATCTTAGTCAAAAGAATCCTTTAGAATTTTACCAATAATTACTTGAAAAGCAAAATTTTTTAAGCTTATTATTTTATTAGCTCCTTATAAATACTGACTTTTAATTCAGCAAAACATTTTTGTCTTTCTTTTGAGAGAAGTCCCATCCCTATTTGGGAGGCTGAGATCAGGAGGATTTGGTTCCCCGCCACTCTGAGCAGAAAAGTCTGGAAGACTCAGTCACATTAAAAGCTAGGCATGGTAATAACTTGTCACCCCCAACTGTAGTGGGAAGCATAAAATAGGAGCAAGGTCCAGGCACGTGCCCAGGTAAGAAACGCAATCCATCTCAGAAATAAGAAATGCAAAAAAGGACTGGCGAGCCGGGCGCTGGTGGCTCACACCTGTAATCCTAGCTACTCAGGAGGCTGAGATCTGAGGATCGCGGTTCAAAGCCAGCCAGGGCAGGAGAGACCGTGAGACTCCTATCTCCAATAAACCACCAGAAAACCGGAAGTGGCGCTGTAGCTCAAGTGGTAGAGCGCTCGCCTTGAGCTGAAGAGCTGAGGGACAGCGCCCAGGCCCAGAGTTCAAGCCCCACGACCGAAAAAAAAAAAAAGGACTGGCGATGTAGTTTAACAGTGGTGTACTTGCTTAACAAGGAGGAAACCCTCAGTTTAAACCAGTTTAAACCCTAGTACAGCTCCCTGGATTGAACTCCAAGTTCTGTCCATGTTAGGCAAGCACTACTGATACATAAACACACACACACACACACACACACACACGGATCTAAGAATGGAGACAGGAATATAGATATGGATATAGATATATTTCTTTAAAGTGGTTGAATACCTAGTTGGTTGAAAAAAAATTAATGTGGCTGATGAAACCTACTTGGAACCATAACTTTTCAAATTTAAAAATTTTTTACATTATCCATGTAACATAGGATCAACAGTTTAAATACGTGCTGTACAAATAGTTATGCTATAGCCAGGAAAGGTAAAAAGACAAGGCGTTCCTAGCACTCAAAAAGAACAAATCTAGCTGGGCACCAGGAATTCATGCCTGTAATCCTAGCTGCTCAAGAGGCTGAGATCTGGTGGGCAGAAGCCAGCCAGAGTAGGAAAGTCATGAGATGCTTATCTCCAATTAACCAGCAAAAAGCTGGAAGCGGAGCTGGGCACCAGTCGCTCATGCCTAGCTACTCAGGAGGCTGATATCTGAGGATCACAGTTCAAAGCCAGCCCAGACTGGAAAGTCTGTGAAACTCTTATCTCCAATTAACGACCAGAAAACCGGAAGTGGCGCAGTTGCTCAAGTGGTAGAGTGCTAGCCTTGAGTTCAAAAGCTGAGGAACAGCATTCAGGCTCAGAATTCAAGTCCCACAACTGACAAAAAAAAAAATCTGGAAATGGAGCTATGACCCAAGTGGCAGACAAGCAAAATAGCACAGGGACACTGCTCAGACCCTGAGTTCAAGTCCCAGGAATTGCACACATATACACACACACAAAAAGAACAAATCTAGAGGGAATAACACATAGAAAAACATAACCATAAGACTGCCAAATGAAGTAATAGCCATAATAAAGATAAAAGCAAATGTAATGGACACCCTTCCAAAAGAACTACAGATGCCCTCTGGGGAAATTTTAAGTTCCAATTCTAAGATTCTCAAGCTCAGTCCTTACTAAAGAGAATGTTATAACTAGCAAAACTGATCAAGAAATCAATCTGTGGCTACACCTCCTGCTCACGGCTGGCACTCAACTACTTGAGCCATACCTTCTAATATTTTTCTGGTTTATTGAACATAGAGTTTTGTAGACTTCTTCTGCTCAAACTGAGTTAGAATCACGATCCTCAGGTCTTCTGAGAAGCTCATGCCTAACGTCTGCCTATAGAATAACAATGACCTAGAAGTTCAAAACTGAATTGAGTTATGGCCTATTTTTATATTCTTTGGTTTGATTTCATTTGGGTTGGTGTTTATTCAAGGTCTTGCTATGAAGCCGAGGCTGCTCAAAGATCTCCTGCCTCCGCCTCTGAGTGCTAAGACTACAGTGTGTGCCACCATACCAGGTCACTTTTTATGTAAAAGTGATGTTCAGAGGGGCTACAGTTACATAAACCAGGAAATGAGTACACTTCTTTCTGAACAGTGTCACCTACTCCCTCATTTTCTCCATTTTCCCCTCCTAACCTTCCTCCCCCCACTCCCCAGACCACTTCATTTTTTTTTCTTTTTTGCTTATGTGGTGCTGAGGAATTAAATCCAGGGCCTCATGCATGCAAGGCAAGTGCTCTACCACTGAGCCACCTTCCCAGCCCAGACCACTTCATTTTTAATTAATTAATTAATTAATTTTTTTGTCAGTCGTGGGGCTTGAACTCTGGGCCTGGGCGCTGTCCCTCAGCTCTTCAGCTAAAGGCTAGCCCTCTACCACTTGAGCTACAGTGCCACTTCCAGTTTTCTGGTGGTTTATTGGAGATACGAGTCTTACAGACTTTCCTGCCCAGGTTGGCTTTGAACTGCGATCCTCAGATCTCAGCCTCCTGAGTAGCTAGGATTACAGGCTAGAAGCACCGGTGCCTGGATCCTTTTTAATTTTTTTTTAATTAAAAAAAGTATGGGGCTGGGAAGGTGGCTCAGTGGTAAAGCGCTTGCCTTGCATGCATGAGGCCCTGGGTTTGATTCCTCAGCACCACATAAGCAGAAAAAAAAAAAAAAGCCTCATAAGTGGTGTCGTGACTCAAGTGGTAGAGTGCTAGCCTTGACCTGAAGAACTAAGGGACAGCACCCAGGCCCAGAATTCAGGCCCCACGACTGGACCCCCCCCCAAAAAAAAAGTATTAGCTGGGCACCAATCGCTCATGCCTGTAATCCTAGCTACTCAGGAAGTTGAAATTTGAGGATCATGGTTCAAAGCCAGCCCGGGCAGGAAAGTCTGTGAGACTTTTATCTCCAATTAACCACCAGAAAACCAAAAATGGTGCTGTGGCTCAAAGTGTTGAGCGCTATCCTTGAGCTGAAGAGGTGAGGGACAGCGTCCAGGCCCAGAGTTCAAGCCCCACGACCAAAAAAAAAAAGGTATTAAAATTGGGCATCAGTGCCTTACTCCTGTAATCCTTGCTTACTTAGGAGGCTGAGATCTGAGAAATGAGGTTCAAAGCCAGCCTGGGCAGGAAAGTCTAGGAGACTGAGACTCTTATCTCCAATTAACCACCAGAAAAACTGGAAGTGGTGCTGTGGCTCAAAGTGATAAAGCACCAACCTTGAGCTGAAAAAGCTCAGGGACAACACCCAGGCCCTGGGTTCAAGACCCACAACAAACAGAAAGGAAGGAAGGAAGGGAGGGAGGGAGGGAGGGAGGGAGGGAGGGAAGGAGGGAGGGGAGAGAAAAAGAAAGGAAAGAGAGAGAGAAAGTAATATTGCCTGTGGCTCATGCCTACAATTCTAGCTACTCAAAGAGGCTGAGATCTGAGGTTCATCATTCTAAATCAGCCTAGAAAGGAAAGTCTATAAGACTATTATCTCCAGTTAAACACACACACACTCACACACACACACACACACACACACACACACAGAGCTAGAAGTAGAACTGTGGCTCAAGTGGTAGAGCCTCAGCTTTGAACACAAAAATTCAGGAACAGTGGCCTGACTCTAGAGTTCAAGCCCCAGGACTGGCACACACACACACTATGCAGAATTAGGGTAAAACTCAGTGAGAGCATCTGCCTAGTATGCACAAGATCTGGGGTTCAATCCTCAGCACTACAAAAAATTAATATCCAAGCATTTTATTGGAGCTGAATACTGTCTTATTACACCTGAATTCTCTCTTGAATTCACTGTAATCCCATCCTAACTTCACTAAAACTACTCTTGCTAAGGTCAGTGTCCTTGCTGCTAAATTCTGTAGATACTTTTAAATCTTCATCTGTAGAATTTCCTACTGTTGGTCGTTCTTTTTTGGGGGGGTGTAGGAGGATTCAGGTCCTGGGGCTTGAACTCAGGCCCTGGGCACTGTCCCTGAGCTTTTTTTGCTCAAGGCTAGCACTCTGCCCCTTGAGTCACAGCTCCACTTCCAGCTTTCTGGTGATTATTTGGAGATAAGAATCTTAAGGACTTTCCTGCCTAGGTTGGCTTTGAACTGTGATCCTCAGATTGGAGGCTCCTGAGAATCTGGGATTACAGGCATGAGTCACCAGCACCTGGCATATGATTTTTTCTAAGCAAATAATTTACATGTTTGGGGAGATGTTTTTGAATGAAACTAATTATAACTCAACATCCTGAAAAAAAATAACTAAATATATATTTAAGCATGACTATTATAATAAACACAGATACCACAAGTACAGCCTAAGTAATTCTTATTTGGATGAAAAGTAAAAAACATGAAATACAGTGTGTACATATTCAATTTTTAGACTTAGGAATCTTTATTTTTATTAGCATAGATTAGTTGTACAAAGGGAGTTCATTGTGATAATCCATATATGTATATATGTACTTTGATGAAATTTGTCCTCTCAATTATTCCTCCTTCTCCTTCTATATGCCCCTCTTTTCTTTAAACAATTTTCACAGGTTCATTATGATTTTCCTTACATGCATATGAAGAACTTCAATCATATTCTATCCTCCTTTACCAAACGCTCCTTTTACCTTTCCCCACTGGTTTTCATCTCCAAACAGTGCCCTCATTTTAGCATAGTGTTTGAGATAATTAAGCATTATCCAATCAATGTTTGTATATAGTAGACAATGCTACTTTAAAACCTTATTAAATTGTGGAAACTAGAACACTGAAAAATCAAACTTATTTCTGGGTGCCGGTGGCTCATGCCTGTAATCCTAGCTACTCTGGAGGCTGAGATCTG